GATTTAAGTGCTCGCGCTGTAATCGGAAGGTTGCAGGTTCGAGCTCCGCTCAGTTTGTCGCTGACCCTAACCCTCCATCACTTTTGACGAATGTTTAAAATTTTGGGCATTCTCCATCACCCTCTGTGAGCCCGTCAGAGAGCCTTTACGTGATGGCGTTGTGTGTCTCCGCCCCGACGCAGACGGAGAAGTATAAATCAGGATTCAGCCTGACGTGAACTGGTGCGCTAATTCAAGCAAAGCCTCGATAAGCCTTGCTTTTCCAAGCTTGCTTCATGGAGCTGCCCTCAGAACTCTATTCTAATTAAAGCACTGTTGCTATATTTTTGCATTCTGTGCTCCAGTTTGATTTTATTTTGAACTCAGATTCCCATCAATAGAATCTGACATATTTACATTCTAGCACAAACTTTTACCTAAGTGTGTTCCTTTATTTTTCCTCATTTTTATCATTCTAGCTGCCAACTTCTAGGTCTCAGACAAATTAAATGCCTCTTTCTTACCCCTTCTCCTGTTTTCCCTTATGCTCACAGTCTCCCCTCTCCCTGCTGCCCCCCTCTCTGGAGCAGATTCAAAGTCTTTAATAAATCATAAGAAGAAGAAAGGAGCCGACACTCAGGATTTAGGGTCTGGGACTCTTTCTCAGCTTCTTCAGTGAGAGTCAATCACCGGTCTGAAATCCGGTCGGAGAAGTTAAATATTTAAAGCCTGCTGAAGCTGATAAGCTTGCATTTTAAATATCAACATGTCACTATTAAATTAGGTAAAACCTACGTACACATCCTCTAAACATCATAGTGACCAGGATTTACTAAACGTGGTGTTTTCATCCTAAATTGAGTTAGAAAAATATTTGTTCCAGTATTTTGCTCCAGTGGTTCTTGCATGATAATTCAAACTTCCACATCTGGTGAGTTCCATTGCTCAAATTGTCTTTATTGTGAAACCAGACAAAGTAAAAGAAAACTTTGAAAACTTCTATCCCGGACATAGACATTTTGGTTTCCCAGTGGCTTGTGTTAATTTCCATTGCAAAAATGGTCTGCATGTGCATGAGGTAACACTGTTGCCTCGCAGCAAGAAGACTGAAAAGTCACATTTCAAATGCAGCTTTTCTGCATGGAGTTGGCGTGTTCTCCCCATGCATGTGTGGGGTTTTTCCAGGCACGTCGGTTTCCACTCACAGACCAAAAACCTGCGTGTTACACTAACTGGAGACTCTAAGGTGTCCTTTGGGCGACGGTGGCACAGGAGTTAAGAGCTCGCCCCGTAATAGGAAGGTTGCAGGTTCGACACCCGCTCAGTTTGTCGCTGTCGTTGTGTCCTTGGGCAAGACTCTTAACCCACCTTGCCTGCTGGTGGTGGTCGGAGGGACCGGTGTCGCCAGTGCTCGATAGCCTCGCCTCAATCAGTGCGCCCCAGGGCAGCTGTGGCTACATCGTTGCTCATCACCATCAGTGTGTGAATGGGTAAATGACTGATTGTGTTGTGAAGGGCCTTGGGGGGTTCCAGGACTCTAGAAGGCGGCATATCGTATACAGACCATTTACCATTTTACCTTTGGTGTACGTGAGCATGTGACTCCTTTGTCTCTGTCTCTGTGATGACATGGAGTGTCCTCTAGCTGCCTCCTGCCCAGTGACTGTAGGAGGTAGAAACCACCTTCTCCTCATCACCCTACTGAGGAATAAGGGGATTGTGAGATGAGTGAGAGTGTTTCAAAACCGACCGAGAGCAAACCATTTGAAACTGATATCATTATCATCAACAAATGTCATTACTTTGATTACAATCCTGATCAGATCTTTCTTCATACCTGAGGGCCAACACAGACTCACAGCTTCAGTAAAGGATTGAACCTCCTGGTGACATTCTACTTTTTGTAGATGTTGCAGTTTATCTATAGAGGTCTAAACAGCACCAAACACATGTTTACACAACTGTCAGTGTTTCTATATGTGCTCTACTGATGTCTGATTAGCATGGTTAAAACTGCAGCAATGAGTAGTTACAACAAACCAGGATCCATAAACACCACAATACAAGTTACAAAACTGTCATTGACTCAGAATGACCCACACAACCAGAGTCAGTGCATCACCCTTGTCCTCTGCCCCCTTCTGACTCCTCCTTAGCAGGAATTACAGCCGCAGGGAGGGTGTGAAGTCTGATTGATGTACTACGAATAGGATATCCTGACACATAATGCTGCTGCACACCACTATTAAGACTCCCCAAGCGATCGATTAGAGTTCCACACCTCTAACCAATGGATGCACAAATAAATGAGAACTTTCTTCACTTCACTTATTCTGTAGGAGAAGCCTCTAGTGTGTTATTTTTCATATATATTTACATGTTTGAAGGGTTTGGTGGTGAAGCAAAAAACTAGAACTGAGCTCATGTCAGAGATGCTTATCTCCAAAAGAGATACCTCCACATTTTGGGCTCAGAAAAAAAAAGAACAAAAACTGAGCTATTTGACCACAATTGAATGAAGTCTGAATGAGTCCAGGTGAGGATTTTAGACCTAAGAACACTGAACCAGCTGTCAGGCATGGAGGTGTCAGCATCATGATGTGGTTCTGCTGCACAAAGGGGATTGATTATTGAAGGAGGAGGTTGTTCAGCTCCATTTGAGATCATCTGCTAGAGCCATCCATCCATTTCCATCCATTTTATTTATAAAGCACATTTCTACATGACCGAGGCCACCCAAAGTGCTGCACAATAAACGAGCATAAAAATCAACACACGGGAAGAAAGTAATAAAAGTAGTACAGTAACTACTATAATATCAACAATTAACATAAAACTGAGATGTAGTACAAGGCTAACTAGGCTGTAGTAAGAGCCAAGTAATAAAAATGGGCCTTCAGGCGAGATTTAAAATCAGAGAGAGAGAGAGGGGGCCATTCTCACTGCTCAACGCATTCTCACTTCCAGCGCATCAAAAACAAACGCTTGGTCAGCCACCCTCCACGTCAGACCCCTGATGCCAAAAGTGCCCTTTTTCGTTACTTAAGCGCGAAAAGGGCTTTTTCCCTTATTTGACTGCAGATCCCAATGCAGCGTAAAACTGACATGATGGGATGTCCGCAGCCAGGGCACCAAACAAGCTCATTGTACCTCACCTGAACCGTATCCTCTTCTTTAACCGTATCCTCTTATTTAACCTTCCCCTCACCCCTATCCTAACCTTAACCATCTTGATAGCGAACACGTTAGTGATGTGTCGATCGCTCTAAAAGCCGGCTCTATGAAGTGAACGGTGGGAGCTGCCTCGTCATTGGTCGAGTTTGGACCGAGCTAACGCGGGGGGGAGGTTTCAACTACCACAGTGGAGGTTAAAAGTAGAGGGTATTTGTAACCTCCCCCTCGCCAGATGGTATGTTCTAACGTCCCCCTTGGGCAGAAAACATGAAAATTCAGTCAGAATGCATGGGAAACAGACGCTTGATCACAGTGAGAGTAACGTTTTAGGTAGCAAGAGGGTTAAGGTTAGGATGAGGGAGAGGGGAAGGTTATAAATTGTGAAACGTTAAGGTTTAGGTGCGGTTAAATGAGCTGGTTCGGTGCTGCATCAGCGGATATCTCATCACGTCAGTTTTACGCTGCATTGGGATCTGCAGTTACAAAAGGGAAAAACCCCTTTTCGCACATAAGTAACGAAAAAGGGCACTTTTGGCGTCAGGGGTCTGATGTGGAGAGTGGCTGACCAAGCGTTTGTTTTTGACGCGCTAGTGGGAGTGAGAATGTGTTGCACTGCTAGAGGGAGTTGGTTCCAGAGACGAGGCGCACAGATTGAGAACGCTCATTCTCCTCATGTCCTCACCCAAACACTTGGGACCTGTGACAGGTGGTGGTCTGCTGACCGAAGAATTCGACCAGGTACGTAGGGCTGAACCAGCTGAGTCAAGTACAGAGTCATGTACAGCGCATAAAGATAGAGTGACTTAAAAACTAGAAGAAAAATTTTAAACTGGATGCGGTAGCGCACTGGGAGCCGGTGCAGCTGTATCAGAACAGGAGTAATGTGCTCCCTCCAGCTGGTGTCTGTCAAAAGGCGGGCCGCCGCATTCTGCACCAGCTGTAGGCGTGCAACCGAGGAAGATGTGGATCCATTAAAAAGGGAATTCGCAAAATCCAAGCGAGAGATCACCAATACATGGATCACTGAGTGCAGGTTACTACATGGTTGAAACTTGGACCCAGTCGAGTGATCCAACAGGACAATGACCCCAAACACATCATAGCTGGTTGCTGCTTGGATACAGTAAACTGACATTAAGCTTTTGGCATAGACTTCATGAACCAACCCCTACTCATCTGGACATGTTTCTAAAAAGCTGAGTGTGTGCTGATAAACAGCCCAATTTAAATGATTATGACATTTGACAAGGCACATCTTGATCATTTAACCCAAACCTAATTGGGGTCTATGTATAGATTTAAACCTGAACGTAAAAGTTTAACTCTTCACTGTAAAATAAAACATATTGTTTCAACTTAAAAATACGAGTGAAAGGGCTGCATTAAAATTTTGAGTTAAATGAAAAAACAAAATTTGTTGTCTTAACATTACCATATTTTATCCCAAATTAAACTCTCTTGTTATACCAACATGTTTTTAAGTTAGTTAAATTTATAATCAAGAGTTGATTCAACGTCTTTTAGTTTTTTTAACTTTAACCACAATTAATAATTTTACGTTGTCAAAACTAGTTTGGGGTTGTTTTTTTAATTGAGAGAACTGACTGGTACAGTCCGTGTAATCCATAAATGTATGTTGACTCAATTTAAAAGTATCAATTCATTTGGAAGAAATGTTTAAGTCAACTTAACTAAATAATTTAAAACATTTGCCATATCGAAAAAAGATGGGGGCACTGTATATTGGAAATTTAAAACATTCATATGATTAATTTATGTACATTTCACACAAAATGATCCATTTAGTGATAAATTTCACCTCCAAAAACAGAAACAATACAAACATGTTCATCAACTCAGCTAGTTTTTTTATTTATTTAGCAGTAATGAAGTTACAGCTCTGCAACATTTACTGAAGCTGTTTTGTTTTGTAATGAATAGTGAAAACGTTTTAGAACAGTCTGCACTCAAAAAAAAAACATTAACACAGCAGCTTATCAAGGTCTTATAGTTAGAACATATTTAGTGTCTGAAATGAGACAAGTAATTGCACATTAACTCAAGTGCATAAACTTTTAAAGCATCTGACAAAACCTTGCACAAATAAAAACAATAAAATAAAATTCAAAATGATACTACAATTCAAAATAGTAGTTCTAAACAAATAGTGCACATTTTAATCTTGTCCTCTATCGTTTGGTCTTATGTTGACCTCTTTATTGCAATACTTTTTATCAACCTATGCATTTGATTGGCTTTGAACTGATATGACTATATTTTCTGATGGAATAAACCTAAACAGATGAAATAACAAAACAAGAATTCCAAACCATGTGCCAAACTTCTATATGACCTTTGGAACAATGTTTAACAGGAAACGTTGAGTGCTTTCAAAAAGCTCAGACATCCATGAGTCATGAGATGAGACATTTCAGGAGAATCTACATGGTTTTTTGTAACAGTCTGTTTCTCAAACCATGCACAAGGGAGGAAAACTGACCTCCGCCGATGTTCATCAGGACCTTTTGAAAAACTTCAAATGTGTACCTGAGTTCCTTTGGATAGTCTATATTAAAGGCAAAAAGCAGACCCATCAGTAGAGCAATGGCATGAGGAATGTCCTCCACATCAGGCAGGACCACTTGTTCCTCAAGAATGACTGATGTGGCAATGATGTCCTCTCCATCTTTCACCAGCAGAACTCACACTTGCATTCCCCGAGTGAGTGTGGCTTCCTCGTCAATGGCCTACACAAGTTATAAAGCAAATTACTCACTATGACCCCTTGCAATATTTGGATAATTCTACAGACAACCTTGTTAAAAGGAGACTAGGCAGTTTTGCTTGTTTTTAGTGCCCCCTGGTGTCTGTCTGTGGTCAAAGCAGAATTGAAACGTATCTCCTCGCTGTGCGTTTGCCCTTTTAAAGGCATACTTTGCAACTTTTTCATATTTCAGGGTTCCCCCAGCACTTAGCAGGCTTTGTTTGCCCACCAGCCAGGCTAAGCGTCATGCCCCGCCCCCCTCCCCGACCGTGTCCGCTGACACGAACGGCACAACGGAGCTAGAGTCCTCCATCAGCTGATACTGGTGAGAAACAGCAGCGGAACGTGTGCAACGCCCCCATCCCCCCTCTCATTGAGGAGAGCTGCAGAACAGAGGGCGGTAAAGGTTGGTTTATGCTTGACGTGTCCGCACGGCTCCGCGTGGAAAAGTTGCATCATTTTAACAACCAGGCCCCTCCACCGCGTCTCCACACGGCCCAAAATTTCCGCAACGCGCACCTAGGAAAATTTCTAACCACGTGTAAAAACATGGCGGACCGGCAAGAACTAATATGGCAGAGGTTTGTAAATACAGACATTTGTATGATTCAGCTCTCAGAGATCACCGTGATCAACTTGTTGTTAATAATTCTTGGAGAGAAATAGCTCGCACTGTCGGAAAAGACGAGGACGCTGTTAAAAATGCTGAAATGCCATGTTGTAAACAGTAATTTCTACTTCTACTATGGTGTAGTGTTGGATGCATGCCGTAGAGCTCCATGCTGCCCCGTTCAGTTTGGGAGAATATTGGCTCACCGCAGAGACGAGCCGCACGAACCATAAACGCTGCGAGTTGTGAAGTGTGTTCCATCCGCGAGCCGCATCACCACGCGGAAAGTGAATGCGTCAAGCATAAACCAAGCTTAAGGGTCTGTGTGACATTTCATCACCCCAGCAAAGGTTCATTTTAGCACATCCTGGCTCCAGAAAGTGATTTAATAATGTGAAAAAGTTGCATAGTATGGCTTTAAAACCCTTCTTTATATATCTACATCTAATATCACATCACTACTTTCACTTATAAAGAAATTGTTCACAGATCATTTTTGATACAAATGCTCACCTGAACAGTCTTGAATGCATTTGAAGGATCATCCTTGAGAAAATACGGAAGGCACCGGAAGAACAAATGACCTCTTCCTCAGTATAGAGGACTGAGAAAAAACAAAGACAAAACAACTAATTATAAAGAGAATAACAAATTATTGATATCCTGATTCTTTTATTCTGTTTTCTATATTCAATTGATTAGTTGGACATTTTCACTTCAAATTCTTCTTCCAAACCTGTACTGCAATAGAAGTCTGCTACAGAATTTGTGTTGACTGACAGTTTTTCTGTTTTTGTTTTATTGGGAGGGGGGATTTGGCAGCCTTTAGCCATTTTGTTTTATTCTAAATACTATAGCTTTTGGAATAGAATTGTTCTGATAAGTTTTTCCAGCTCTGACCTATCACTATAGGAAAGCTACTGGGGTTGTGGTAATTTTGTGTAGAAACATGCTTTTTTTTTTTTTTTGCTAAATTTACACAGGCAGATTGTTTCAAAGATAATTTCAATTTGATGGATTTCCTAAAAGGCATGACTGAATTCTATTCACCCAAAGACAATAACCCAACAAAATGTTAACATAATTTTCTTCTTCTCTGTATTAGAAAATAGAAAATACTGTTAAATACTGAAAACTGGTAAAACTGTAAATAATCTCCAAAGGAAATATTACTAATACTAACAAAAATATGTGAACATTTATTTGCTTACGTCATCAAGACATTTAAGCTGCCTGCTTAGTCCAGCTGATTTCCCACTCTTGGCCTTGAACAGCTCCAGGAACCTTGGCAAATGCTGATCCAGTCCACTGAAGAAAGACTTCTTCAGGTCAACAGATGTCAGCCGAGCAAACTCTGCTTCAATCTGTAATTGAAGGTGACAACAACAAAATTTGCAACTTTACACAACTTTTTAAAAAAGACAAAAAGTTGACAAATGTGTGAAAGAGAAAAATCGAAATGTGCCTGCTGTTCTTTGAACAGGGCTGGCCACCCTTCTTTGACTTCAGCCGCAAGAGGTTGATTTTCAACTATTTCTTTTCTTCGTAGGGGGAATGTGATGTTCATCATTTCACCAACTTGCTACATTACAAGGTTGTCTGTGGACAATATTGCTAAAATTTTACAAGGTTCAGCTTACAAAAACATGTTTTTGTGATGAGCTCTTAGTACTGTCTTGTATCACTAAGTACCATCCAATGGCTCAGAGATGAATAAATGTTGACACCATTCATGGAAGTAGTTGAGCTCCATTTACTACTTTTAGGGTGACAAACATTTGGAGAAAGAACAAAAATAGCCAAAATACAATAACTCACCTCAATGTACAAGAAACACCTTTGGAGAAATCACCAGTCGGCCTTGGACAGCGTAGGATGACAGTGGAAGGTAGTGGTTTAGTTCACTGGGTTCAGTGGCCATCAGTTGATCTGGATCTTTCTTGCAGAATTCGTAACAACGAAGGTGCTCCAAATACCAGGCTGAGAAACATTCAAGAACAAAAAAATAAATCTTGTTGCAAACTTGCAACACATGTACAATTTTAATTTTACAACAAACATTTTACCTTAAAGCTTATTAGTCCATTAGTGTTTTCATTGAGTCCATGATCTCTCAGATGGACATGCAAGGATTGTTTGGATCTGAAATACTGTGAGCAGTAATTGTAAATGAAGGGCAAAGGGCAAGTTCTGCCATAATGTCTGTGATTGCTTTGATAAGGTTCAATGATGCACTTACGATTTCCACAGAAAAAAGTACCAAGTTTACAGGTCCACTTCATACGGTGTAAAAGGCCTTTTCATCATGGGCACCTTCAAAATAGAATCTGAAATAGGTAAAACTTAGGTAAATAATTCATGATTAATGAGGTCAACATTTCACAGAACTAACTTGCAAGTATCACCTAATATTTTGATTAATTATTTCTGTTTCATTATTTAAATGAATACTGACTATATAAAACAATGTATTCGGTTTTAAAGTGTGAAGTAAACGCATGGCGTCTACTCTCTGAGGGTCACGTGACGTACGGAGCTTAGCGAGGAGAACGGCTGAGATGCTGCGAGATTCCGCTGCAGTTTCGCGCCACAGATGCGCCCATGTGGACCCGGCTTTGAGCATTTAGCTTAATTTTATGAGTATACATTTTCAGAAAAAAGGTTAATTAACTTGTTACCGAGTAAACATTTCCCAAAACAATTTCCCCGCCAACCCTGCTATGCTAACCAACAAACAGCGAGTTACCTACTTCTAACATTCAAATATAAGATACACTAAGTTGCATTCAACATTAAACTTAGAATTACACGATTTACTTTCAGGTTCAGACCTTTTATTTATTCATTTCACTATGACTAATCAAGCTAATGCTATTTAACAACTAACAAATTCAAATTCAACATAAACCCAAAGAAAACTTACCAAAGTGGTGGGCCTCTGTTGAACTGGTTCAGTGTCACCTTTAGATGGACAAAGTAGTTGGTTTTAACCCTAAATGGAGTCATTAGTCCTTCTGGACAGAACATTGCACACGTGAAAGACTGCTTGACTGAGCTGAGAGCTCCGTTGACTTCTTCTTCCGTTATCATAGGCACATGCGAAACAAACTTTGCGCCACTTACCGCCACCCAGTGGACATATATTTTAATGCTCAAAAGTCAAGTAGACTTGGATAATTTATTTGACTGGACATAAAATTATTGTTTAACATTTTTAGTGTTGTTGAGATGTGTTTAACTAATTATTCTAATTTATAACAACAACAATACAAAAGCCATGTTATATTAACATGAAATCAAACGTTGGGACAACAAAAAGGCGTAAATGCAATTTACAGTGTTGAGTGGAAGAGAGAAAATCCACAAACTCAAAGTTATGGACCTTAATCTTGGTTTTTTAAATGATTAAAGTTTTATGTTGTATATGTATTCCACCCTGGAACAAGAATGGTTCAAATCAATCGTTAAAAACCCCAATTAAGACCAAAACTGTAAACCCGTGTTAGTCATTAGAATACATAATGTGGCACCATTATGTTTCAGTAAATGACAATGGAATAAAAACACTAAATCTTTGGTCATGAAAGTACTGTTACTCCACAAGCATAGGCCTTACATTTTAAGAAAGTAGGAATATAGTTTGGATAGTTTCAGGAAGTGTGATGTAGCTGAGATTTGTGGGTAAAGGAACTCACAAACAGCCATCGGGCTCAAGTGTCCAGATGGGTTCAGGAATAATTATCTACATGTTGTTCCTTATTTTCAACATCTAAGCAGAGGAAACATTTATTTAATGATCAGTTAGAGGTGTAATTTAGTGTCCCGTCGCTGCACTGCTGTGTTAATAACAGGTTACCAAGCTAAACGCCACATTACACTGAAGTTACTGTCAAAACGCTGTTGGCCAGTGCCAGCTTAACAGGATTTTTGTTTTGGGTCATAAAATGTGCTTTAAACACAGATAGACAAGAAATGGTAAACCTTTGAGATAATAGTGTAAGGATCCAAAAGCAGGGTTTGTTCATACAAGCCTCAGATTCAGATAAATATTTTATTGCTAAAGGAGAAAGAGCTCTCTATTTCCGGAGAATGCCACATTTATATGATATATCTATGCGTAGGAACAGTTCAACAAATAAACGTAGAGTGACCTGATCCCAGCTTGCCAAATGTGGGACAGAGATACTCGATGTGAGAACATGAAGTTCCAATGTAATGAGAAAATAACAAACAAACAAAAGGTGTATTCTGCCTTTTAGCCCTAACACCACTGTTACACATACATAAAATGATTATTCTTATTTTCATCATATATTTTTTGTCTATATTTTATTTGAATTCAACATGAAGAAGCAAACAGCAAAAGCTTTACTATTCCACAGTTCCTCTCACGTTACCACATCTTAACTCTGTAGTGGCTCTGATCATTTTAATAATATAGACAGGCCCACAAGAATAACAACATGCAGGTTTAAGCAGCTTTTCAGAATTTTCAATGAATGTTTTCCACAACAGAATGACAGTAAAAGTACCAGTAAAAAATTTTAGATCTATTTATGTTTGTTTTTAATTAATTTTCCACTAAAATCAGCATCTCATTGAAAAAATATGCACACTTCTTTGCTATTTTTTTCTTAATTCAAAAACAAAAAGTTTTTTTTTAATCATGACAACAAATCTCTTCTAGATTTTAGGTGAGAGAATAAACATCAGATTCTAATCGGAAAAAAAATCAGATCTAATCTAATAAAAGTTTCTTAGAGTTACTTTTTGCCTCAAATTTCTGAGAATAAGTGATCAAAGCTTCATTTATTCTCATTATTTCTTCACTGTGCTTTAACCCCTCCCCAATATCCTAATGGGTGTGACCCCGCAAGGAAAGTTCACCATTGAGCAGCGTTGATGGTTAATCCCTTGAGGTCCACGTGGCAGGAGTGAGGTGGTGCCCCTGGGAGGGTTAAAGGGCTCAGCGTGTATGCAGGTATCTGAAACCGCAGCACTGTGTCTGTGTTAGAGCCTCCATTGTGTTTATCATGGACCTGTCTAATTACTGAAAACCTGCTTTTGACCTCTTCATATCAGACTCTGCACCGAGACATGAAAGAATGACTCAGAAACAACAAAGACTCTGTCGAGTATCTCTGAACACGTTTAATTCACGAGTTTACAACATTTTCTCCTCCGTGCTCACTCACGCTTGCTTTGGTGGTTCGGGTGCTCTCCACACACGCTCCGGATCTGCGTTAAAGTCCCGCCTCTGTTTGATTGACAGCAACACGCAAATTTCTCCACAGATTCTTTTATAAGATTGAAACTCGAAATGGGAAACTGTCAATAATGCGGGACATGAGTCTCAATTTGCAGGACCTGTAAAAAGTAATGAAAATGCGGGACTGTGCCGCACAAAGCGGGACATGAGAATAAGAATAAGAATACCTATAGCTATATCAAATACAGGCCATTTTACCTTTATTAGTCCCTCAGTGGGGAAATTGCATCTGGTCATCCTAGTGAAACGTGAAAATAGTACTCTGCTCCTGTGTCCTGCATTAGTCGTCGATAGGAAATAGACAGGGAAATGCATGGATTAGAAAAACCTGACAGATCTATGTCACACAACAATGAGCAACAATGTAACCACAGCGGCCCTGGGGCTCACTGACAGAGGCGAGGTTGCAGAGCACTGGCGCCGCCGGTCCCTCTGACCACCATCAACAGGAAAGGAGGGTAAACACAGGGAGGGCTGCTTAGCATCAGCTAGTTAAAGCTAACAGTTAGCATGAGCAACTCCACCACATGGCAAAACTCCTTCAGGCTTGCGTTATTTGTGGAGATAAAACATAAAGGTTGCAAAGCAAATGGAGTCAGTGGTGGTCACATAATAGCTGCTAGCCAATCAGAGGAGAGATTACCAGATATCAGGAAATAACAATGAGTACGACTCCTAATCCTGCCATCTTGCGCCCCCCGCTCCTCTGGCTAATTTTTGCTTCCCAAAACAGGACTGCCAGCTGCTCTAACCCCGGCTTTCCACGGGAGCCGTCAGCAGCACGTTACTGCAGCAGCACGTTATAGCTGCTGATAGGAACCGCTGTGGTCAACAGAACTTTTTCCACGGGAGCCGTCAGCAGCACGTTACTGCAGCAGCACGTTATAGCTGCTGATAGGAACCGCTGTGGTCAACAGAACTTTTTCCACTGGAGCCGTCAGCAGCCGTCAGCAGCGCGAGTCGGCCGCATCTCAGGAGCAGCATGTCGCGGCCTTTACGCGCCGGTTCTATTTTCTACGCGCGACGCCTCTGAAACGGGTCAAGTTCGACATTTTTGGGGAAGGAAAGACAGGAAATTGGACGCGGAAATGGAGAGAAGCTCCCGAGATTTTCAGAATAAAGGACGTACTGCCTTCCGGTTGCTTTACTTTTAAAAAAGGTTACTAACTGTGCGGCCCCGTGAGAAGTTATCACCTAGCTAGCGGTCTCCTTTGTTTTTCAGGTCCGTATTGGCGATTATAAAACGGACAGAACATAAAACACAAGCCATGTTGTAATTTTCTCCTGCTTGTTGTTGTGTTTACTGACGAAGTCACTCGTGTGACTTCGTGCTCGGTCGGTGACAGCTGCTCCCCTGCTGCTTCGCGTCTCGTGGGAAGGGCCAAGCAGCAGCTTACGCGAGCAAGACGTGCTGCTGCAGTAACGTGCTGCTGACAGCTCCCGTGGAAACCCGGGGTAAGAGCTGTCTGCAGCAAGACTACGGTCCTATTTACTGATGCAAAGAATACAAATGCAAATCTAAAAATTATAGGAAATATGCCGAGGAGAGAAAGCGTGAAAAAAACCTTTCTTCATTCCACCAAATATAAACACACATAGTTAAAAGGAAATGTCACACTTTAGACATGTTTCATGTATGTAAACAAATGGCAGCTACACCAACACACAGTTACACCTTATCCTGTTGCAACAGAGTCTGTCACACTGACACCATCATCGGGTCAGTCTAAACTACCTAAAAGGAGTGAAACAGATCGCTCAAACTCCCACTACAGCTGCTCTTTTTCTTCACATCTGTCTTTCAGCACCCCCCATGCTCTTTGCAGCCTTCTCACCATCAGTCCGTCCTGACAGAGGGGTGTATGGGACAGAGCTTAGCTGTAATTATCGTCTCCAAAAGAAACAAATCAGTGCTTTTCTCTGCAGACCTAACGACTGTTGCCAGGACGTATAGATTTCTGACAATCAGTGTTACTTTGGCTACCCCTGTTTCCATATGTCTGCAGTCTGTTGAGATAATATTCTTTTTGGGATGTTCAGAGATGGAAGGAGCCAACACACACAATACGCATGAACACCTACACTCTGATACATAGGGTTAGGGTTAGCCAGCAGAAACCAGCAGACAGAGCCTTCATTGCTCGGGTCTGTTTTCTTTCAGGTTCGTTATTGTGCGTGCTGTGATACTAAACCCACTAGAACTGTAAGACACCTCGTGGTTTAGCCAGGCTCTGGCTGGGCAGTGACCGTTTGTGAGGTTTCCAAAGAGCCTTAGAACTTTGTTTGAGGATCAGCGAGTCAACAACAGCGTTACGATGGAGGTTAGTTTGATCAGTGTAGCGTGATGAATTGTCCCTTTCTGACCTAAAGGCTCTATTTGCTCTGCCCAAGCAAAACCGTAAGTTTCTGACACAAGCCTAATCTACAAGAGATGGGCCAAGGCCACTCATGCTCTGTGCTCTTATCTAAACTGTTGCTTCCTCGGACAGCACAAGAAAGAAGAAAGAAGACGAAGAGCTCTTTCTCTTTAAATAATAATGAAATAACTTTGTTAGTCCAAATAATGATGTGAAGCTAAATGTTCAATCAATCTGTGAAATAAGAATATTAATTACTTGATATTATAATCCTATGATAGTATTTTAATAAGTAATATAACTTTAAACTACACACTAGACTGATCATACGTAATACTAAAGTCGCATGACATATTCATTTTTCTGATCCAATCAGAACCTTCCAGATCTGACGCGAGGCGTGGTTTTGTTGGCGCTTATATAATCCCCTTTTTGTTGTCAAAGTCTGATTCGACAGTAAATCAAAACATCCAAATTATAAAACTATGCCCCACATCATCTTAACTTGAGTTCCAAGCGTTCTAGAGAAGTTATCGGAGTGGCCAATCCGTAACTTTCCTCTTAAAGCCAAAAGAACCCAACAACAAGCTGGATTAAATCTGTTGCATGTTTCACCTGCTGCAACGGTTCCTTCAGAATAAAAGCTGAACCCTCACGGCCCCTTCAGGGTCTCGCTGATGCCAATAAACTGTCGTGACCTGGGAGTATCTCAAGACTGGAAGGGTCGGCAACCGCTGCATTTCTACAGGTGTCGGTTCCAAGAGGGTCCAAGCTAGACCCCCGACATTCTGGACCTAAACGGGGACTTCCGTTGGGATACGTAGACCGACAGATGGCGTCTCAATGTGTGTTATAATCTCCAACCAAAAGCTTAGAGCGAAACATCATCTTCACTCCCATCAGAACTAATCGTTTCTCCAGATTTGCTGGTTCTGAACATATTTCAAACACACACACCACCCTCAGTCTAACTCCACCTTAGTTACACCATACATTTAGTGTTTAAAGTTAGTCTTGTTTAATTTGTTTAGAAATACAATTTTTAACTTTTTAACCCTTACTCTCTCTCTTTCTTGGAGTTGATACAAAGTGTTGCTCAATCCCGGCAATAAAAAGATCCGATCTTCTGGTTAAAGTTACTCAAAGATCCATTAAGGTGATATTTCATATTTTATGATATTTTACATTCTATGATTTCTAATTAAATGTAAGAACGTCTTTTCTACATCAGTAGCGTGTAATTGAATTGTTAACTGTCTTCTTTCGTCATAACGCCCGATAAAAAAACGTGTTTGTTACTATATTTCAGCAGTGAGGTGTGTTGAAGTAGGAATCAGCTGATCGGGAGCTACAGGAATGGATGTTTACATCCAAGCACATCCTAGCGGAGGAACGAGGAAGACGTGATGAGTAGTCACGGCTGCAGACCTGCAGATGCGCAGACTCGCACCTGCAACAGCAAAACTGCAGTGCTCAGGTCAACTGGACTTGCCATGTACGGAAGGTCCGCTCACCTGTTCACCACATCAGAACATCATTCCTCCTCACGAACTTCAATCTTCCTACATCATCCTCTAGTTGTCCAACTGGAACCAGTTAGTTTTCCTGGTCATCCCTGTCCTGCTGTAACACTGATTGTTTCAGTCTTAGGACACTCAGGTGTTAATAGAACTAATGTGTCTTCACCACCCAGCTTCAGCACGTCCGCGTTTGGGTCTAACCCACTTTAGTAAATGTAAGTCCTCCATTAGATTCAATTCATTTCAAAAATACTTTATTAATCCCAGAGGGAAATTGATTGCTGTAGTAGCTCAGAAAAATAATAATCCATCCATCCATTTTCTGAACCCGCTTGACCGTGTAGGGTCGCAGGGGAATAATAATAATAATCAAGTCATCAAAGAGTTATTGTATATTACAATGGCTGTTGGCAGGAAGGATCTCCAGTAGAGTCATTTTTTAGGATTTATATATAAGCTCTTACTAGATTATGAGTATTAGAAATCTTATTAAAACATTCAATTATTCATATAAGTGAAATTGGAAAATTAGAATATAGTAAAAAAGTTAATTTATTTCAGTAAATTAACTTAGACTGAGAGACCATTTAAAGGCGCAGGGACCTTTAGCAGGTGTTTCCTATTTGCAATTATAAGTTAAAGTTGATTGTCTTCATAACACACAGTAACGTTTGAACAGTTTGGTTTAGTTTCATGTTTCCTGTTTGTAATTCCTCTTGCTAGGGGGTCCATTTATTTCAGTCATTCAGTTCTATAACAAATAAGTTGATATACGTCATTTATTTGGTAGTACCGTATTTTTACGACCATAGGGCGCATCGTGTTATAGGGCGCAGCTTCAGTTACGGGTGTCTTTTTGGTATTTAACACATTCAAAAGGCGCACCGGGTAATAGGGCGTGGGTGCGGTAAAACGTACCGGTAAAACATCTGTGCGGGCTCTGGACTCGGAACATATCAGTGCAAACCAGACATTGTGAAAATTATAAACAGCCAAAAGCATGCTTCACTTTACTGGTCTAGTCCTGGTTCAGACCTGGTTTAGAGCGCACACGCACTTCCTCATTGCGTGCGCTGACGGCTTGTGCTCTTCTTATGCGCTGATGCGCTGTGTTGAAGTTCAGAATGTGTTTACCGGTAGTCTGTGGATTTAACCACATAAACTTTCCACATGAACAAAATCATATCGCTGGCAGTTTAAACTGTGCTTCATAGGCGTGTCTCTTAGCAGGTGCCATTCTCAGGGTTGTCAGAACAATGTTCAGCATATCGCGCATACCTGCCCTTTTGAACTATTCGGGGTCTGTCTTCGTTCACGTCCACGCCACGCCCCTTGTCGTTCTCGCCACGCCCCTTGTCTTCTACTACGTTCGCGTCTCACAACAACACAATAGGCGCATTGCACCATAGGGCACGGTGCACATTTTGGAGAAAATTTAAGACATTTAGGTGCGCCTTATGGTCGTGAAAATATGGTACTTGATAGTAAATAAAGTTCAATTAATAGAGGATCCAATTTTTCTCACATATTTTTATGAAAAAAGTAACAAAATAGTTATTTTTCCTGGTAATTTGTTAGTTTGATAATTGTGTAACTCAGTAACTAATTCAGTTACTTTTTTGACTAAGTAATTGGTAACTAAAATTAATTACAGTCAGTTAGTCACTCACTCACTCACTCACTCACTCACTCACTCACTCACTCACTCACTCACTCAGAGTACCCAGAAAGAAGACATGCTAACTCCATGCCGAAATGCCACATCTGGGATTCAGACGTGCAACCTTCTTGCTGTGAGGCAACAAGGCTACCAGCTTCACCACCATGCAGCCCACAGTCAGAAACAAGAAACAAATTATTCAGTTAATAATTCACCCAAATTCCATCTCTGTTGCAGATTGAAAGTCTTTCAAAAAGCTGCAAGAATCAGGGAACTAGTTCAGTTTCAGGCCTGGTACACGGTATACAGATGCACGTACTGCCCACATGAGGAAAATGGCTGCTTACTCTTCCTAAACAAGCCTGTTACACGGTTCATAAACACATCCATCTCTTTGAATGAAGGACACTAGTACGTACACACACATAGAAATGTGTCCTGCTCCCACTGACAACAACAGAAGCCATGGCAGAACGATGGCATTAAAAACCAGCAGGAGGTGTAGCGTGATGAAAATGTCAGACCGGACCCAGCAGGAGAACTTCTGTAACACGTTTCATCAAGTTAGGGTTGGACTGCAGCGCCATCATATATATACAGTATATATATATACCTCCTGTGTATTACAACTTTGTACACATCCAAAGTAGGTGTGTGTGTGTGTGTGTGTGTGTGTGTGTGTGTGTGTGTGTGTGTGCATGTATTGTGTAATTTACATTAGTTGTGTACCAGTATGACTGCGTTAACTCTGCAGTTTCATCAGAAAACATCATAAACTCAGTTACTGGACAAAGAACTAAACGTGTCTTCTAATAGATTTGCCCTTTGATGTTTCTCTCAAAACAATGGGAGAGCACAGTCAGACTTCCTGTATGAAATGATGGGATGGTTTGAATAAAGGGTTGGAGAGCTTTAGGGGGCGGGTTAGGGTCAGTATGCAGCATGCTGGGTTTTGTTTAAAACCTTGGATAAACAACTGAGGTTGGTAATAAAGTTAAGACAGCAGGCTGCTAAACAAAAGGATGCACAGTTTGATAAATGGAAAATAAATGAAAATAAAACTGTCTGTGTGAATGAGCCTATTTGATTTTAAAGTATTTATTTTGTGTTAGGGCTGCAAGGGGAAGAAGGGTCAGACAGAAATATTACAGGAGGGACAGGTAGTGACCAGAATATGAGGTTTCTACTCACCCAGCCAGTACTATGAAGAAGTCCAAACGGTTCCACGTATCCCCGAGGTAACACTTCTTCCCAAAAATCCCAAGGGCCACCATTTTGATTACCATCTCAATGGCAAAGAAAGCAAAGATGAAATCATCAAAGTCCTGACAAGACAAAGAGATGACATATGGAGAGTTAGATGTCATACAGAAGAGAGCAGGGCTGCTTCATCAATCAATCAATCAATCAATCAATCAATCAATCAATCAACCCTTTATTAATCCTAGAGGGAAATTAGAGTTTCAGTACACGCAATTCAGAGATCAGACATACATGGGCAAGACACATGACAAGAATTGGTGACTGTGGTCATTCGCAGCCCTGAGTCGCGCTACCTTAACCCTTTAGACGCCATAGTTATTTCAGTAAAATATGATTTTTTTTAATATCACTATTTAAAGAGCTTGTAGCTTAAATCTGGTTAGAGATAGAGGAATATTGTAAATTAGAAAAATCTTCAGTTTGAGACAAATTTTGTGATAGGAACAAATTCACTCACATAATTTGCATATTGTGAGGTCATCAGGTAGCAGCCATATTGGATTGCATCACATTTGTAGATTTTTTTTATTTTTATGTTTTTGTCTTATTTTCTTAGTGTTGTTATTGTTTATGATACATTTATACATATAACTATGTAGACATATATAACTATGTATGTATATTTATAATATTTATTTTTTTATTGGCATTTTGTTATGTTTACTGCGTATCAATCAAGAACACTCTTTTTGGTGTTTCAGTGTCATGAACACGTCACTCATCCCTTCTTTGGTTTATTTTGTTTATTATATATATGTGTATATATATATATATATATATATATATATATATATATATATATATATATATATATATATATATATATATATATATATAATCCTCAATCTCAGGCTTTTCCACAAGCCCCATGCAGAACTGAATGAACGCTTTCATTTATGTCTGGAGCTAGATTTCAGTTCCTCCCTCTCTAAATACTGGTGAGCATATCGGTTAGTTTCAGTTGTGATGAGGGTCCAGAATTCCTTATCCAAAAAAACTGACAGAAAATCTATGTGTTCTGAATTTGACAGATCCCTGTCTCCACAGTATCCAAATGGCTCATCAAAATGCCTGATCCACTTGGAATACTGTTCCTCTTCTCCCAAACTAACCAGCCATCATCATTATTATTGTCACTGAGGCTGTATTGCGCCACCCCCCTGCTAGCAGTGATTTTTTTTCCCGCAGTTCCTCCCCCACCTGCTGCAATTCCCACGGTTTACACTACCGGGGCTGAATCGATCACCAGCGGAATTTTCACCGGCCCATCACCTTCCCAAATTTCCAGAAAACCAGATATCCTCCCACTCCAATCAGGAGAAATCCAGTGATCATCAGGCTGAATATCCACACGTTTTTGATGTCCTCAATGGACAGCTGGGAGACGCATATGATCTTCCACTCCTTCCAGGAATCCAACATATACCCCACCGGGTGCATCCCCTGTGGACATGTGGGAGCCCCCTGCTCCATTCTCATTGTTGAAAAAATCTCATCCATCTTATTGAATGACCAATTTATCAAATCCATTGTTAGTAAAAATAGAGTTTTTCAGAAGAAATGCAAAGAAGCGCTCTGTGGGCACTTTAGAAGGGGGGGGGGGTTCTTACAGTATGTTCTAATGGGAAACAGGCTTCAACACAAACAGTTGTTTTCTGCTTGGTCCTATAGCTCAACCAGTGTCAATTTAATATAGTGTAATATTGTTATTGGATGGGAAAAAGTGCAGGGGTCAAAACTTGACTTTGGAAAAAGTGGGGGGGGGGGGGGGGGGGGGGCTTGGGCGGTAAACATAGTTTTGCTGGGTAATCATGAATATGTCTTTGTGAACACTTTTACTAATTTCTATGATATGAGAAAGATTACATAATATAGTTAAGCAGGTGTTAATACTTTATTTAATAGTGTATTAATGCTTAAAAAATGTAGTAATTTTATTTTTATTTTTTTTACCGTGTCCTGTCTGGCTGTGAAGCAAACGGAATTGATGTCTGAATGCTGGTAACAAGCCTTACAGATTTATTCTCAGGTGGAGCATCAAAGCGTCTGCTTTAAATGTCACGCCTGATACTTAAAACTTTATTGTTGTTTTTGAATGCTTTGTAATTCCGACCAGACACGGAGTCAGAGGTGAAAGAGAAAGGAAAAGAAAAGGTGGGGAGAAGAAGGGGAGAAGGGGGGAAGGGAGCCACAAACACTCAGGCAGACCAAGGCACCACACCCCACACCAGGTGTGGCAGGGGGAGGGGAGACGAGGATCTATATGATCAAAAGAAGTCCCAGGAGAAGAGAGGAGTCAAAAGGCCCCACCTGACATATACAGTCATACACAAACACAGTCACACACTCACTCCCTCATGCTCACACATGCACATACAACCAAACACTTACAAAAATGCACACCGGACACCCACTCATTCTATCCATACACACCCTATTCACTCTGGTCCCGGTAGTGCTGCAAATGTAGTGTTAATAAATGGACCCTTATGTTTAAAGATCAGGTTTTTGTTGCACATCTTGTACAGCTAGTACAAAATTTATGAAATACTAAAGAACGTTAAACCTTAAAGTGTGATTCTCCCGGGTCTGAAGGCAGGATGCTCTAACTGACTGGGGAAGATATGTAATGCATCAACATATGGACATGTTAGCTAATGCAACACACTGCCACAGAGTGGGCATGTTCATGGTAAAGGTAGAGCAGCTATTCTTCAAAACAAGCTGAAACAAACAGCACAGACCAGCATGCTGCATTTTTTGGTGCTGGTTTAGCTGGTGGACCAGCATACGATGTTGGCCCAGTATGCTGGTCCAGGATAGGATGCTGGTTTAGCTTGCAGGTCCAGCATCCCATCACTAGCATCCTATGCTGGACCACCATAGCAGCACCAAAACACACCATATGCTGGTAACCAGTGGTGACAGTCCATGGTGTTTATTTTTTTCCATCAGGATTTTCTAACATAGTATAGCTATAAATATATTGTAGAGATTAAAAAAAAGAAAGAAAATAACTACCGTAAATCCTCTAACACAGGCCCGGGCCTGTATTCGACCCAAGCGCATCAAGCTCCAGGCCTTTATTGGAAGGAGGGCCAGTATTAGAGGTAGGCCTCTATTTCTATTTGAGCAAAATGAACTAATGGTTTACTGGAGTTTTTGACAATTAAAATTGCGCCCACATTTTCAAAGTTAAACACATTTCTTTTAACAACGGTAGTTTCTGCTTCAGCCATCTCCTCCCTCCCCCTGCGCAGCGGCCGCAAACTCACTGATGCGCCTGCAGCCTCTCAGAGTTCCTGCTGCTCTAAACATTAAAATAATTATTTCATTTTCTGTTCCTCACTTCTGATTACCTTCAATGGTGTCTGTTTGCTGCAACCACCAGGTACAAAAACTAATGTGCTTTTATTTGACTATTTTTCTGTCCTGCCTGTTTATTATCTTCCTGCATCTCCTCTCAGTCCTAAAGAGAAACTGCTACCTGGGGTCATATATATTCATGAGTTACCTTTGAACTGAAGTTCTAAAAGATCTACCGACCACAAAAACAGCGGAGTGCTCGCTGCTTGCCGGCCGCATCAGTGATCGGTGCGTCACCGGATGACAAGCTGATGCGCCCCGCTCCACAGCGAAACGCATCAGGCGCAAATAAAAGACAGAAAACATTAAAGGAAATGAACTGACATGAACGATCGCGTGTTAAATTAGTTTTTGAGGTGGCGACACCTGATTTGATAATGTTACTGTGGCCGTGCTCAGGACGCAGATCTACAGACCTCAAAAACAGCGGAGTGCTCCCTGCTTGGTGGCCTCATCAGTGATCGGTGCGTCACCGGAGGACAAGGTGATGCGCCCCGCTCCACAGCAGCGAAACACATCAGGCGCAAATAAAAGACAGAGAACATTTAAGGAAATGAACCGAAATGAACGATCGCGTGTCTGTACCGATGCTCTGGCACAGCGCGTTGCCCCAGCACAGCACAGCAGCTGTCTTTTCCGAGGGCTGCATCTTGCCGGTCATTATCACGTGACAGCGACTAGTCGACGACAGGCATAAAAAAGTCACTATAGTGAAGTTGACTAGTTCATACACCCCCTATTGCTCCCCAGTGTTCTGCAGCATAATCAGCACGTTCTCTTTGAACTTGATATCAAATTTTCGCCTCCTCTTCGTCTCCGCACGGTTAAAGTTACCCACGCGGTCTATCACTGGCAAATCAAAAGTGAGACGATGACACAACCGCCCCCCGTACTTGCTTGTTACCACATTCCACCCGGCCACAATAAGAGACCGGCCATTATTCACCTCCGCCGACTCCGACACCGGCCAAAATATGAGACCCGGCCGTTAATTGAATACAGGCCTGTATTAGAGGATTTACGGTAATGAAGTGGTTCTCTCGCATTTGTACAAAACATGGTGGTGGTTCCATCATGCTGTGGGCTGTGTGGCCAGTGCAGGGACTGGGAATCTTGTTAAAGTTGAGGGACGCATGGATTCCACTCAGTATCAGCAGATTCTGGAGACCCGATGTCCAGGAATCAGTGACAAAGCTGAAGCTGCTCCAGGGCTGGATCTGTCAACAAGACAGTGACCCTAAACACTGCTCAACATCTACTAAGGCATTCATGCAGAGGAACAACTAGAACCTTCTGGAATGTTCATCTCAGTCCCCAGACCTGCATATTATTGAGAATCTGTGGTGTGGGTTAAAGAGAGCTGTCCATGCTCAGAAGCCATCAGACCTGAATGAACTAGAGATGTTTTATTCAGCAGAATGCTCCAAAATACCTTCAAGCAGAATCCAGACTCTCTCTGGAAGCTGTAGGAAGCGTTTAGAGGCTGTTATTTCTTCAAAGGGAAGATTTTCTTAATATTGAGATCATTTCTTTTTTGTGGTGCCCAAATTAATTTCACCTGCCTAATTTAGTTTAACCAATTTTTGCACACTCTCTGTAAATCCTATAAACTTTGTTTCACTTCTCAAACATCACTGTGTGTGTCGCCTACATGATGTATTTTACTGAAACTTTTCATTGTAACAACCAACGATTC